CCCCCCCAACCCCGGGTGACCTGAAGGGGGACTTTTTAAGAATAATACTAAAGGGCATTTTACTTCCTGAAAAAGTATAAACTATCAATTAGAGCACAGATGCTTTGTCAAAATACCAATATTTTTTTGTTTGTTAATGGAGTATTTTTTTCTGCTAGAGCTATCAGCAAAGGATTGATGTGACCGTGTTAACCAACAAATCCAAACAAAAGGATCTCATTTACACACAGTATATCCCCCAAGCTATGATGTTCAATCTAAAACTGCCACTGAACAAGTTCAGTTTTTATCTAACGGTGTACACGTCAACAGCAAACAAATTCAGAAGAACACTTATACAGGTAGGTTTTCAGACATGTCTAAAGAACTAATAAACAAGTAAACAAATGCATACATTAAAAATATGAAGACTCGGTTTAATACAGGATTTCATTTCTATTTATTTTTTATTTACTTGATTTTAATATGCATGTTATTCTTAGAGTAGTGAGACTAATTGGAAACATTTTGCACTTTTTTATTATACTTGAACTTATAATAAGTTTTAGAATGTCATTGAAAATGTTCAATCTAAAACTGACACCCACTACATATAGCAGAAATATCTTTTTGTCCACATTTCTTCATGTTTTGAGGAATGAGGACAAAACGACTGAGTGCACTTTTAATAAATGTTATAAAGAATATCGACATTTGTGTTAATTTATCAAAATGGTTTTGAGGTCAAATGATCTAATTTGGTGCCTATGGAAAATAGTGATCTGTGACATTCTGTATTATGCTGAAAATCAAAGCTTTTAGGTTTCATACATATCTGACATCTTCACGATTCATTAAAACATAACTGAGTGAAATCATTCGATTTGAATTCGCATAGTTGCTTTTATGGCATATCTTCAATTAAAATATGGGCATATATACTTACATATGTACTCATATGCCTGTCCTATTTATGCCTCTAAAACCTATGCATGTCATAATGTAGACTTTATTATGACTGATGTGACTCATAAGGCGTCCCTTACGTGACTTTATGACTAAATAACTAACTACTATGGAAAGATAGGCTCCTCCGTATCGAACAATTCATTTCTAAATCTATAGTTAACTTATGAGGAACTTATGCTGATCGAGTCAACATGATTAGCTATGCATAACATCTCGTACAGAAATGCATGCTCTGAAAAATGCTGATTTTGCCTGGGTATGCTATCTTAGCCATTCTTCCCGAAGAGCCTTAACTTACAGAATGCAAGCATGCATTGAATGTGTTGACTCTGATTGTGGACACCGACAAAGAATACTCGTTCGTTCTCGTGATAGTTCCTTTAATATCTTTAAAAGCAGTTTTTAGAACATGAACAGAATCTCTGCTCGCTGCTTCACTGTGTCACTGCAGCAGCAGCAGCAGCAGCCGAGTCTTCCTGGGTCAGCTGCTTGAGTGCGCATGCGCAGAACACGCACGACTGCAGCACGCTTGCCGTGACGCTCATAACAGAGCAGGCAAGTCCGAACATATATCTCTCAGCCTGTGATAAACATTAGACACAGCACCTTTATAAACGAGCCGATTTAACGCGTTTACGCAGCTCTGAGGACAATTAAAATACAATGTGAAGTGTGAATATTTTCTCAGCAGACTATCATCCTCATTGCTTTGAGCTGTCAACGCGAAATTCTTCAGAGGATTGATGATGAAGATGATGAAGATGATGCACGCCGAGGAGGAACTGAGCAAAGCAGCCGCGACTGGAGACACGGAGCGTGTTCGGGGTTTACTCTCTAACGGAGTGAATGTGAACGGCGTGAACAGATTCGGAAGAACACCCATACAGGTAGGTTTTCAGACATGTCTAAAGAATAAAGAAGATATGCGATATTAAATATAAAAATACAAAGGCACTTAAGAAAATATTGTCCAAAAGGGCAAATTATTGCATGTTATAAAACTTTTTAAAATTTACTTCAATTTAATATTTACACTAATTGCAAACATTTTCTACATATTTAGACTATAATGCACGTTTACATTATACATGTAATTCTAATAACTTTTAATTATGTTGCTGAAAAATCTATTTTAGTTTTATTAATTCGCACAATGTATTAGAATATGATTCATATTTTAAAAAATGTGTATAGTATATACTTATAGGTGTAGCTATTTGGAAGTGTCTAAGCCTGAAACATTTCTAGTAAATGGCCAGGCATGTTTATCCTCGTAGAATAAAAAGTATCACATCCTTGCTGTTTTATTTGTCTTAAATTTAATATATAGTTGCGACTTTTTAGCAACACTGTCACTCACAAAAGACGATGTAGAATCATGTGCTTCAAAATAAAAAAATGTATCCCATTCTATTAATTGTAGCCTACTTTAAAAGAGTGTTTCAACGTCGCAAAAAAAAAAAAAACACACAAAACAATTAATTACATGTGCTTCATGTGATAATTATAATAACAACATTTCATATAATAAACTTATCTGATAACAGAAGGTTAGCTCAAGTAGAAAAATCCTTACAAAACCCGGTTACCATGTTTTACAGTGTTCTCTGATCAATTCTTTAGAGAAGCCAGCTGTTACAGGTATAATAATAATAATCCAGCACTTCAGACTCTGTGGCCATCACAGAAAGTGCAGATAGTCTTTTTAGAGCTCAGCTCATTTTTCATTCACTTATATTTAATTTACAAAATCATTTTCAAATGTTTTACTTCCTTCAAAGAAAGTTGTAAAAATGGTGTTTACAATGAGTGCATGGTCTTGTTTGCAATTACATTTACAGTGCTTAACACATGTATTAGATGTAAGGTTTGTGCCACAGCTGCGCTATAAACTATAGCAGTATGATTACCAAAATTATTTTTTTTATGTTTCTGTTTAAGCTCTTTAGTCACAGTCGTGTTTCTAATGCAGAAATATAATTACTGTTGGGATTGAATGGATTCAAAGACAGATTGCACAAAAGTTTAACAAAAAGCTAATATTTGGGAACAACTAGAAACTATTTGGAAGTCAATAACAACAGAAACTGTGGAAAAGTGCATAAAAACAATGCCAGCAAGAATGCAAAGGAGGCCATGCAAAATATGCATTTTTTTGGTTATTATGTGTGAATAAAGACTATTTGGTTGTTTCTGCTTGTTATTTGCCTAATAAATGACAATACCGTTTTTAGTTTTAAACAGGTTTTTGACAGGTGGTCTAATAGATGTGTTAAGCACTGTATAGTTTTGTGAGCGGAGGCATGAAGGAGGCAAGTGCTATCTGTTTGAGTAATATTTGGGCGTCCAAACGAAAATTGTAGATTAGTTTAGACCTATTTTCAGGCTGATTGGTAAGATAAGTGAAATATTTTAATCTTTTAACGAAATATGTTCATGATTATCACAAAGCGCACGTGCAGACTCATGGATACGCACGCAACTAAAAGCAGTATCAAGTCATAATAAAACCATAAAACAAATGTTACAACATGAGCAGTTATATTATTTAAATAATTTAGTTTGTAAAGCCTACAATATGCACTACAATGTTCTTACCGAACGAAAAAAAATCTCTTCCTCAGTGATTGACAAGCTATTATCAAGGCTTTGATAACATGTATAGTATATATAAAGGAGCATCTTCCTCCCGCAGGTGATGATGATGGGTAACACACCTGTGGCTCGCCTGCTGCTGGAGTATGGAGCAGATCCTAATGTGGCTGATCCCGGGACTGGAAGCACTCCTTTGCACGATGCAGCCAGAACCGGATTCACGGACACAGTGCGGCTTTTAATCCGCTTTAAAGCCGACCCCAGCGCAGCAGATCACAGCCAGTTACGAGCCGTGGATGTGGCGCTGCAGACTGGCCATGTGGGCGTGGCTGAACTGCTCAGAAGTATTTAAACGCTAAAGGTTTTTTTTGTTTTGTTACATATTTATCACATAATATGAAAGGTTTATTTTAAAACGTAAAGGAATAAGCGCAGCGGTTAGTTAATGTACTTGATATATTTGTAATCAAATAATTGTAATTTATATGCTATTGGGAGTATTAAACATTTAAAGTATCTTTAGTTTCCTTTGTTAATTTTTGGTCATTTTTAATACATGCGGCAACAATGTATCATGGAAAGAAACCTCAACTTGAAGTCTGTAGAATTAATGACGATGTCAGCCTATCTAGACACAGCATTAGTCTATATGGCTAATAGATAAAAAAAAAAATAATGTAACACATCCAAAATATTTGATAGTAACTTAGCATGGTGAATGATGTGGCTAAATAGAGTCAAATCGAGAAAAGATAACGAAGTCATCCGTTTTCTGAGTTTGCGCTCAACGCAACGTGATTTACATAAAATACTAATATTTCTCAGTTCTCTCTCTTTTTTTTTGTTGTAAATAAGATATTTTCGTTAAGATTATGATGTTTTATGATAAATGCAACTCTCTATATGCCACCACACAAACTTAAAAAAGAACTTTTGTTCTTCATAACGCGTAAACTGGGTTCTGTCGAGCATCGCCGCGCCAACTTTGAGTGCAAAGATATATTAATCTTGTGCGGGAAGTAAAGTGTGTTGTTATTATTGATGTCATTTTTTACGCAAATCTTATTGATTACACAATTTTACCACCTCCTGCTGCTGCTGCAAAAAAAAAACTGTGCGAAATACAGATGCAGGTACTATGAAAGAATTCAGCTAAATAAATAAAATAAAATACCAAATTTAATATTATAAAGCTCGATTTTGCATAGTGCAAAAGACAAATGTAAAGAGAATCTACGCAACGTGATTTACATAAAATACTAATATTTCTCAGTTCTCTCTCTTTTTTTTTGTTGTAAATAAGATATTTTCGTTAAGATTATGATGTTTTATGATAAATGCAACTCTCTATATGCCACCACACAAACTTAAAAAAGAACTTTTGTTCTTCATAACGCGTAAACTGGGTTCTGTCGAGCATCGCCGCGCCAACTTTGAGTGCAAAGATATATTAATCTTGTGCGGGTAGTAAAGTGTGTTGTTATTATTGATGTCATTTTTTACGCAAATCTTATTGATTACACAATTTTACCTCCTGCTGCTGCTGCAAAAAAAAAAACTGTGCGAAATACAGATGCAGGTACTATGAAAGAGTTCAGCTAAATAAATAAAATAAAATACCAAATTTAATATTATAAAGCTCGATTTTGCATAGTGCAAAAGACAAATGTAAAGAGAATCTGTTCATTTGAGAGTTTGTCTTTAAAGAGATGGACTGCTACACATTACTCAGGATACAGTAAAGCTGGAAACACGCAGAAAGGAACAGAAAAGAATTAGAATTGGATCCGAAATCAGTCAGACTTTCTCTCTTTTGAAAGCAGAAATATTATAAAAGCAACATGATACACAGAGATCTGTTCAGATTGCTGGAGGCAAAAACACTGAACAGAAAAATGCAGGAGTTTTTTTCTTCTTCTTCTGACAAGCAACCAAAGTTTAGCAGATTTTGTAACAAATATGCATCTGTTCTTCACAAAACTCTGGAAGAGTAAATGTGCTGCTGGCTCAAAATGCACCAGGGGTGTGACACGATGAATAATAACCCACACAATCTGCATTGAGAAAACAGCATACATTTATTTGTTTTTAAGAGAGACCTATTTAGTTTTATATCCAACCAAAAATACTTGTATTTTGATTTATATCCAAGGTACTTCATGGAGTAACAACACTACTGCTAGTATTAAAAGGCACTGAAAAACAATGATAATCAAAAGATCCTGTCCTCTGGCAATGCTTCCATGCATAATACTAATTGTATTTTTAGACACTATTATGGAAGGAAAAATAACAGCCATGGCTGACAAACAACCCCCCTGTATTTTTTATTTAGGGTAATACTGATAAGAATGTGACACATGTTTGCAGATACATGATGGCTTCTCAGTGTCCCGGTGCTTTAATGTTTGGGCAACATCACTGAAGACTGTGACATCAGCTGAAAAACAAATATCATGTTATATTATATAAAAGCATACATTCGAACAAATCTGAGCTTTAAACTCACTTTATGTGCATTTATTGTGCTCTCCCAGTCCATCTGACAGATCTGCGGGATTGCTGTGAGTAGGATGCTGCTCGCTTTATTTGCATTCTCTTTCATGGTTTTCAGAACATTGTCCACACACACCTGGAATAAACAATAATAATAATAATGTGGCTACGTTTGGTATATGCAGGTTTTAAAAATATGTAGGAAAAAATACAAATAGTGGCACATTGAAAGCATGGACCGGCAAGAGATCATAAACTTTTAGGACATGACTGGCCAGAAAAAGAGCAATGCATTATGAATTTAAAATGATTGCATCTATTCTTAAAAAAATAAAACAAAACAGATATCAGACTGCTACGTCTCTATGAGTCTATGTGGCTTCACAGATAAGGTTGTCATGAGTCAAGTTAAAACTGAAATTGGAAGACATTCTACACACAAGCAACAGATGACTATTGTCTCTAATTAATGCCAGACTTCGTCAAGAGTTACATTGTGTGTTCAAATTCTGCAGAGGACAATGAATCTACAGCCAGCCTACTGAATCAAGACAGCAACCAGAAAAATCCATGTGATCAAGAAGGAAAACTGAACTACAGACAATTTTTTAATCACCAATGTTCGCCTTTAGAGGATCTGACTAATTTGTTGGCAGCAAAATATGTGTGATTGTGTGTGCATGAGTCAGAGAGAGACTGAGAATCCGGGACAGAGACGGAAGGATGTGGTGAAGCAACTCGGAAACTCAAGAAGGAGGACTCTGAACTGCGAGGGGAAGCAAACACTGCAGCAAACTACCAGCCTAAAACACATATCCTATAACAACCCTTCTACATCTGATAACATATAAACAACTTTGAACACATTTGCCTTTTATGATGTCCTTTCTCTGAAATGGCATCAAAAAAATATAGTTTCAAAATGCATACGGTCTAGATAGAAAGAAAATGAAAAACCACTCTAATAACAAGAGGCTTTTATGTGGCAATAAGGCAATGGATTTCACAGGAAACTGCATACACACATCATTCGCATTTGTTGTCAAAGCGAAACCAGGAAAATTCCCCATCCGTAATTCAAAAGTGCAAACCTCCAGGGAATCACCAGTTTAAAAAACAAACAAACATTTGTCCATCTGCTCTGATAAAATGTCTTGTGCCACACACATTCATCAGCACAGAGAAGCAGAGCAAAAGTGCAACCAAAACAACGGGATTTTGCAAGAACTTTTATTTTTGTAACTGCCTAGAAGCCCAAAGGTTACTTAGAGTAGCTTTAAAAAACATATCAGTTCATTTATTAATCAGGCCATATTATATATAGAAAAAATAAATCAATAAATGTAGGTTAAATGTGACAGGAATATAGTTATTTAATATCTTTAAGTTTAATATTTGCCATGCATTAGTTATTTTTTTTCTCTTTTTGATTGAAAAAACAACTTTAATCATGATTACAAGATGGAAAAGAATGTTAATGCATGACCTGTGCATGAACTTCAAATCTCTATACCGTTCTAGCATGCGATCCTTGTGAATCTGTGTATTTTGGCACAGTTTCAGATTCTTGGTGAATAAAAATAGACTGCAGTTGAAACACTGTCCATTCACTCATCTGAGGAAATCTTACGCCTTGTCTTTCCCCGCACACACTGATGAGTGCCTCCTGTGCAGGGTTTGTTTGGTCTGTGTGGGAGTAACATCAGAAGCGTGCAGCTGTGCATGTACAGCGAAAAACAACTACTGGCATGAACTCAAGTGACTTTAACCCTCTGCTGTTGTTCGGTCATTTTAGACCGGAATTCTTTTTTTTTTTTTGGTCAAATTTTAAAAATCGCTACTTCATCAGAATGGTACGAAACGAGCTAAGTGACCACAAACAACAATAATAATAATAAAAATCATGGACTTGATTCGAAAACGCTAAATGGTCATTAAAAAAATAGTCACACTTGTGTTGTTCACGGTCAAAAATGACCGCCATTGGAAATGAATGGGAAATACACAAAGATACAGAGAATTCTTTGTGTGTACAATCTACAAATCATTCACGATGCAAAAAAAAAAAAGTGCACAGCAATGAAGGGGTGACATTCTAAAATATCAAGAGTGCATGTATTCAGGTTTAAGTCCCCACCAGAATAGAAAAACAGGTACAATTATATATACACACACACACACACACAAATGAACTGGTGTGGCTGTAACAATATGGCAAAATAGAGCCAGAAGACTCAAATAAGAGACTGAAATCAGATTGATAAACCTCTGATAAAGCATTCCTGTTCATTTTTGTTGAACTCTGATGTTATGTGTAATAAAATGTCTTTCTTTGTGTTCAGGTTTGACTGTAGTAAAATTAATGCAAAAACTGACATTTCAAATCAACATTTAAAATGTATAAACCTTTTCTATAGAGCTCTGTAGGAATCTAGTGGCTAAACCACAGAATTTCAATGCTTTCTTTCACTCCCACCAGATGGAACTAATCTGCCTTCAAAAATTGGATTTTAAAGGCATTGTCTCCATTTTAACATGAAATACTGCCATAATTGAAAAGTAATATAAAAATATTAGAAAAATTTTTTTTTTGTATTATTTTCAATGGGGGAAAAAAAAATCATAATTATTGCATAAATAACCTAACCCTAAACATTCAATCACAGCTGGAGCACCAACATGAACTTCAACATCTGCCCTGGCCAGACAAATCACCTTAAATATTATTAAAAAACAGTGCTAAGTAGATTACGGTACTTGCAATTGTAGTCCGTTACTGATTACAGATTACACAACAACGATTTTAGTAAATTACGTAATGCATCAAATTACACATTTTAGGTAATATAATCGAACTACTTTTTGATTACTTCTAGATTACTTGTGACCTAACTCATTTATCACATTGCACATAAACAGGATAATATTATACTATACCGTATTTATATAAAAATACAAAGAGAAAGAAAATATATTCCATTCGTTGTTAACTACAACATGAAGTGCATTAAACATTACATTACTGAAAGACAAAAGCCTTCCAAAGACATGGTTAAATAACCCATTGAGTGATAATTCACATAAAAATGATATTCTGAGCTGGAGACTATTTAAAAATTATACAAGAGTATTCTAAGGTTGGAAGCTGTATTAAAGGCAGATGGTGGTAAAACACCTTTATAAAGAAATATTGCCTATTTCCCACATGTTCACATTATTTGACAAAGGAGAATACCCTTGGATATCCCGAAAAACAGGTCTTGTCATATTTATCTGCCAGATAATGCATTATAAGTAACGTGAGCTATGTAATCAGATTACTTTTTTCTTTTAAATTTACGATGAAATATTGGAGTTACTTCTTTAAATAAGTAACACAAGTTACTTTGTTTCCCCATGCATTGACTGACAGCTCTCCTGTCCTCATGTCGAGAGAGACAGAGACTCTTCCTTCAGTCTGAGGCTTATTCATTTCACTTTTGGTCTGAAAGGCCCTTTAGAGCTGCCAAAAATATAACTTTTGGGGGTTTTGTTATTAAAAACAAATAAGCATGCCAAGCCCGAGTGACCAAAAGTAAAGCAAAAGTAATGCATTACTTTCCATAAGTAACACAATTAGCTACTTTTTCATGGAGTAACACAATATTGTAACTAGGGTTGTAACTACATTCCAAAAATCCCTGGAATATTCCAAAAAATCCTGGCAAGTTTCCAAAATTTCTGGAATGTTTCCGAAATTTACTGGAAATGTTCCCACCTTTTTGCAACCCTAATTGTAACGCATTACTTTCCCCAACACTGTCTGTCAGTCCCCGAAATATGGTTATGTAGGTAAACACACACAGACTGAGGTTTCTATGGGCTCACCGCCTCTTCGTGCTCTTTCCAGCAGTCATAATCAGTTGCCATTGCAATACTAGCATAGCACAGCCCGGCCTCCTTGGCAAGAACCACCTCAGGGACTGTGGTCATGTTGATAACATCAGCGCCCCACTGTCTGAACATGAGGCTCTCTGCCCTAGAGGAGAAACGAGGACCCTCTATGGTCACCATTGTCCCTCGGGGGTGACACTTCACACCGAGTCCCTGCGCAACCTCCAGGAGCACCTACAAGAGCAGGTAAGACAAAGGTGAACAGAGTAAGAATAAAGCAATAAGCCCTAAGAAGCCGTGGTTTACAGTGAATTTATAACAGCTAAGGGAAGTTGTTAAGCACGAGTTATAATATATACCCCCTTAACTGTTATAAATTCACTGTAAACCACGGCTTCACGGGGCTTATTGCTTTTATAAAACGGTTATTCCATATACGTAGTAAGGTTTCACAAAATAAAACAGAGCAAATAAAGTGTAATGATATTAATAAAAACAGTATTCTTCCACCAAACAATGTAGCTCCTCAGAAACAGTTGTGGTTGCAACAAAGTGGTTGCCGAGCAACAGACAGACGTAAACAAAGGTGTATGTTACTTTGTAGAGTCATTTACAACAGCTTCGAACGCGGCTCAGCCAATCAGAATCAAGCACCGGAACTATCTGTTTTATAATATGGGATATCGGATAGAGAGCTGGGAAACGTCACTGACCTCTCTAGTCTTGCTGCAGAAAGGGTCAGCCATAGGGATGTGACACACACCTGTGGGGCTGGTGGGCTGCCCGTCATAGAACGTCTGAACACGCTTCGCTGTCCTTGAATTCAGCGAGGTGTGGGACATTTTGGCGTGGAAATTAAGAAGAAAAGGAAATATGAATATGCACCAAACTCAAGAAGCAAGCAAGTGTCACACAGCAGTCTGTACTCATGCCCTCAAGTTCAGGGTGGTTCTTAAAATCATACAGACAAATCTTCACTTCTACAATGAATGAAGCATCATCAACGGGTTTGAAGTTTGATAATAATCCAACAGCACCAAAAGCAGGATTTTGAGACCTATCCAAAGACCTATTATGGCAGCAGTATGTGTATACGCAAAGAAAATAATGTTCAAATTTTACGCCCGTTTGTGTTAATCGACAGACGTATCTGTGGAAGCTTGTTTCCGCCACTCAGTAAAAATAAAAAAGGTAATTGCATCAGAATTGTGAGATATAAACTTGCAATTTGTACTTTTATATAAGCTTGCAATTGTTAGTTATAAAGTCTGAATTTCGTGATGCAAAGTCGCAATTACTTTGTTTTTTATTTTAATTCAGTGACGGAAACAGGCTTCCATTGGTACCTTCTCTCAAAGTTTTTCTGACATTCAGCTAAAATATACTTTATGTTCCTCCATAAACATTTTTCTCTAGTAAAATTAATATTAAATGGATATGGAGATGCTAAAAGCTAAAAAAAAAAAAAATCACTCCTGGCTACAGTTTTGCTCAAAATCAAATCAAATGTAGGCTTACTGTCTTCCATGAATATTAATGTTGATTATTATTTTTAAAAAGTAGCATGTCATTGAATGCCAAATAACAGATTTGAGTTGGACTGTTAGAATATCTTTATCTTTAATTTCCAAGGGAGCACAAAAGCTGTGTGAAAAACAGCAAAGACGACACATGTTCCCAGGGTCCTATGTTTCAAGGGCCCTATGTTCCTGGGGTCCCCTCATTTATATTGCGCATATAAACACATGACAAAGCATGCTATGTTCCTAAGGTTTGGATTAGGGTTCGAATAATATAGGAACATACTCATTTTATAACAATATTTGAAAGTGACAGAGTTGGAGAAAAAGAAACACATTCATAAATCCTGATCCACACTCTTTAACCGTTAATGCACATTGTACGGCAACTGTCATAAAAAAGGACTCTGTAGGCATTGCAATGAACTGACTTTTCTTGAAACAAACTTCTTCCACTAGCAAGTTTCAGCTCGTCTCGTCGTGAAGCTTTGGTTTAAATTCGACTTAAATAAATGCCTTCAACAAAGGATATCTCACTGTCTGCTTACAGTATTGTTGAGTAGCTCCGTATTTCCTCCAATCGTTAAACTGAACACTAACCGATCAATAAACTGGTCAATCAAAACGATGTCCCCAGGCTGGATGTCTTCTCTGAGAGAACCACATGCTGTTGTGACTAACAGATGAGTGCAGCCCGCTTCCTTCAAGGCCCAAATATTGGCCTGGTAATTCACATTTGTGGGCATTATGGTGTGTTGTCTCCCATGCCTTGCAGAAGGGGAAAAGTTAATGCAAAATAAATATAAAAACCAGCAGATATTTCAAGTGTAAGTCAAAACATTGTATACTGTATTGTATATACCCCCACCTTGCAAGAAGCACACAATCAACATTCTTTATTTTGCCCAAAATCAGCGCATCAGATGGCTGTCGAAAGAGAGGAGGAAACGTGAATGAATAAATACACTTCTGGCTCTGTCTGTCAGCTGTTAATATATTATGGTGACCAAGCAAACCAAGATTAGCATTTTTTTCAACTTCTCAGTTTAATTAAAGCAAATGCACATGTGACCCTGGAGCACAAAACCAGTCATAAGTGTCAATTTTTCAAAATTGATGTATGGTGTATAAAATCTTTCCATTGATGTATGGTTTGTTAGGATCAGACAATATTTTATAAAAGAAAAATCTATAATTTTGACCCATACAATGTATTGTTGGCTATTGCTACAAATATACTCCAGCGACTTAACACTGCTTTTGTGCTCCAGGCTCACATATTCATTTCCAAATGTGCTGCAATAATCATGCATGCTAGAAAGTACAGCAGACACAATGCAGAGACACTCACCTTTCCAAATGGAGTGACTACATACCGTTCTGTCCTCCCCTCCAGAATATCCGGATCATCGAGACCAGATCCTCCAATTATTCCTATCTATGAGAACATGACAGATTACAGACGTCTCTGGACGTGGGATGGGCGTCTGCAGGGGGTCGATTCAATTCAAACATTTTCAACACTCGCGAATATTAAGAGTGACGCGAAACAAGCAGGATGCACTTGACAGAATTATGTAGAATTGCACTTTTTTTTTTAGTTCTACGTTTCAATCAGGGAGCTGTTAGAGAGTCACTTCATAGTGATTTCATTATTTCAACATGTCAACCACAATATAGGATAGTTGTTTCGTACGTTTTAGATTATATTTTACTGACAAACTGTCACATGAAACGTCTTTGATACAAAGTGAATAAACTGTAGAGAGTATCGTCTGCACAAAACAGTCTGCAATGTTACAATTATTTATACAATTATGTTACAATTATGTCACAAATATAAAAATACAGTGTATATCCTCCTGGGACCCCGACAGCGTTAAAGACTTCTGTCCTCTGTAGAGGACTTTATATTTTAGTGAATTCTCTGAGACCGGTGCTTTTCAGGAGGTTTGATCATAAACACTCCCTCTGCTTGCTCTTTAAATATGACTGATATTGACAGAATTATCAAATGTAGCACTCTTAGGGAAATATGACAATGTTTTGTAATTATAATTTAAATCTGACTAATTTTCAAAATAAATAAACATCTCAGAAAAATGTGATGGGGTTTCAAATTGGAATATGGCTTTTTGTTACAAAACAGGGTGTAATTTTCATACATGTCTTCTGTAGACGACACCAGGACAAACAGCTGTTAATCAGGCATTTTAGGGAAACACAACAAGAAATTATACATCAATATTTTTACGAAACATGAGGTATTTTTATGAAAATGTTGCCAAGTTATTCCTCTCATTATTACACATCTTTTTCATTATGATTTGCCCCAGGAACAAATTAATATGCAAATTAGATGCAATGTATATTGTATAGAATCGGATGGACATTTGACGCACATATTGCAAAATAGTATATCAAATCATACTGTTATATCTTCCATAACATAGTTGAGAATCATCTTTGTGCAGAGTTTGGTTAAAAACAGTCTGAAACCTAAAAACTGATTGGTGAATGAAAAAAATGAAATTTTTTTTTTTTGCCTATGCATGCCTTTTCATGTCTATTTACTTTTTTTTAATAACTCAGTCCTCTACAAAGAGCATAGAATAAAATATGAATAAAATATCTATTTTTTTTGTGTGTGTAATTTTTTTCTCTCTCTATTAGTTTCTTATGCTCCAACCAATGTAATGACATATAAAAATAAATAAATAAAAAAAAAAATTCACAAAACTTTTTTTCTGGTTCTCAGGAGGAAACGCCTAAGCGCCAGTGCGCCCCCTAGAGGAAACCTCGCGTTATGACCGCGACTTCTGTCCTGACGGTTGGAAGAGTTGATTCTAGAATTGCTCCTACAGCGACTTCTGTCCTGACGGTTGGAAGAGTTGATTCTAGAATTGCTCCTAGAGTGATTTCTGTCCTGACGGTTGGAGGAGCTGGGCTTGATTCTAGATCGGCTGCTTGAGTGACTTCTGTCCTGACGGTCCCTGCTTCGCCTTCTACCATGTGATCGAGAACAAGAGCGATGTACACTTCTATAATAGCTGGTGTAGGATGAGCATGTCTCTGTATAACATCTCCTGCTGCCGTCTCTTTGACTGTAATGGCTATATGAATGCCAATATGACGAGGTGTGGCGGCTTGACTCTTTTTCTCGTCTCCGCTTATGCTTTCTCTCTTTAGACAATGGGTGTTTCCTGCCAAGAGAGTAGGAGTGAGTCCTATTGCTGCATAAGGATCCTTCTCTAGATCCCGACAGCTCTCTCTCATGATGCCTTTTGCCACATTTATCTTTTCTTGAGCGAGTAGAGGTGTTCTCAGGCGAGCGAGAGCATCTCGTCGGCCTCCTCTGAGCGTCAGCGGGAGACAAATCAGACTCTGAAGTAAAACGAATGTGTTGGGGTGCTCGATGGCTCTGAGGCTCGGCGTTCTGCTCTGAATGTTCTGAATCAGAGGAAAGCAGGACCAGTTCCGGTGTCCTTTCTGACACTGGCTTAACATGTCCGATAATTATGCAGTCTTCAGCACTGCCAGAGGAATGCTCCTCTTCCACAGCAACAGTGCCAGGATTTCCCGGACGGTCCTGATGTGGCACAGCGGCGACAGACACTACTGCCTCCCCTACGCTACTATCAGAATCCGAGTCCCTCACATGGAAAGGTAACACCTGAGATGGCTCTGAGGAGTAGGATGGCCCTGGGGTCTCATCATCCCATGGTGCTTGGCTTAAAGTCACACTAGGAGTGGCATAATCCTGGGATCCTGACACTAAAGAATCGCTCTCGTCCTCAGAGATGGCGATCACAGAGGTTTCCGAACGGCTGCTCTCTCCAGAGGGCCGAGGCAAGTCGTAAACGGCGCGCTGGTCATACGCCTCCATGTTGAACGGGGACCGAGCAAAGCTAAGAAACTCGTGCAAGAAGTGCTCTAAATATTGGTTACACTTTATTTTAAGGTGTCCTTGTTACAGTGTAATTACTAGTGCTGTCAAGCGATTAATCGCGATTAAAAATAAAAGTTTTTGTTAATATTATGTTAACAAAAACCTTTATTTTGAATGCGATTAATCGCGATTAATCGTTTGACAGCACTAGTAATTATATATTTAAGTACTGAGTGATATTAATTAACTACATGGACTTACTATATGGTTAGGGTTTGGCGTAGGCTTACTTGCATGTAATTATGCATAATTAATTATTATAATAGTAAGTACATGTAACGTGTAACAAGGACACCTTAAAATAAAGTGTTACCTTAATTTTTCCTATTAGTAACAAACTACTTTATGACGGGAGCAACATTATATTGGTATTTTACAATGTTAACAGAATATAAACAAAACTATGCAGTGTCACACTGACTTCTGAGTTCATTTAAGCACAATAAGTACATTTCTATAATAAACAGAAACGTAGGGAAAAAAGAGAAAGAAAACATCTCCTTCAAAATGTTTTTAAACTTACTGTTTTATGTATTTGTTGAAACTTTGGGAGTAAGTTACTCAGATCCTCTGAACTCTACTGAGCTTAAGTATCCGGAACAAACAAAAGAACATTTATAATTTTAATAACGCTTTACAGAATCCACAAAAACACGTTGAGCTGAATCTCATGTAACTTACTGCCTAACAAACCAGTGCCGCTTCAAAGACCAAGTCACGATATTTCACGTTATTGCTCCGAATGCGAATATAAAAAGCGTTTAATAACGACCAGAAACTATACGACTTCTCTCAGGCGGTCGATCGTGACGTAACAAAACAAGAACATTTCGGAAGTGACGCGCTGTCAAACTTTCGGAACTTCCTGTTTTTCACTTCAAAATAAAAGCCCTTCAACCATGCGCCAGACAAAAAGTGAATAAAATTTGAAGCGTTAATTATGTATCAGAGAAGCAGTTCCTTCTAGATATGGTTTATGATTTTAATTTCATAATTTTAAAATACTAAAACACTCAAACAATTCTGAGAACTGTTGATTAAAATAGCAACGGCAAAGCTGGAGGAGCATTTAATTATTCTAATATTCAAACAAGTAGAATTTAATAGTTCACTGCTGCTTTTTTTTTTTTTTTTTTAATCATCTAATTATTTGTTTTATTTGACATTTAATGCACTGAATTGTGATAATTTTTAAATAAAAATCATGCCATAACAAATGTATAAGACTAAATGTGTCATTTAAAGAATGTTACTCTTGGCTTTTCATTGTTTTTAATTAAAATAATACATGACTCTTCTTGCACGTGAGATCTATGACACTAAATAATAATCATAATAATAATAATAATAAAAAGATTAAATTAGCTTAATTTCAATGACCAAAATGTACCCAAAAGGGTGTCTTACTGTCACTTAAAGGCACAGGAAAAGCATTCAGAATCTGTAGAATTAATTTTATTGACATAGTATACACAGAAACATGTTAATTTTACAACCAGCGCTGACAACCATGTCTACAGTGAACATAAACTGGCATCTTCAGTGATGACCATGACTGTCTGCTTCAAGAAGATCTGGGACAACTTCTCCTGTTTCCAATATAGTGTCTCCCTGAAAAACATACACATGCAAAGAAGGTGTGCATGAGAACATACATAAACATCAAAATTAATGATTATTTGAAGGTAATTTACAAAACTCCTTTTGATTATACACACACACACACACACACACACACACACACAGACACAGACACAGACACACACAGAAACACACACACACAGACACACACAGAAACACACACACAGACACACACACACACACACACACACACACACACAGACAGACACACACACACACACACACACACACACACACAGACAGACACACACACACACACACACACACACACACACAGACACAGACACAGACACACACAGAAACACACACACAGACACACACACACACACACACATAAACACAAAGAAGGTGTGTATGAGAACATTTATAAACATCCGAATGAATGATTATTTGAATTTACAAAACGCCTTCTGATTATTAGTGTGATAAAACTGCTTGGACCAAATATACTTACAGGAAACAGTCTGGGTTTAAGAACAACAATTCCATACGGCATTTTCTGTGGAAATAAGAAATATCAACCATTTGAGCTTTAAACTGAAGCATGATAATGATCAGCCAAAGCTCAGGGATATTTGGTGCTACATTTGATCTGCAACCCTTTGTACACACAGTACAACCCTTGATGGAAATATTCACATTACACCAACTGAATGTAACAAAAAAAGAAATTAATCTGAGATTCTTTGAAATAAGACAGCAGAAGTCATTGCCTTACGTGATCACTGTTATACTGAATTGAAAGAAAAACCACATCAATATTAAGTAATTTTATTACTCAACTGGACTATAAGCGGACAGTGAATTCACAATAAAAACACTTCTAGAATATAAATCACACAATGTAACAAACATTAGCTTCACTTAAGTTTTTTATGGTTCTTCTGTAACTCTGTGGTGCTAATTGTTATTGTGCTATTTATTTTCACGTAGCATCAATATTCTGGTAAATATTTAGGTCAGGTACATTTCAGAACTTTATCAGTAATTATGAAACACTGGTTTAGCACAGAGAAGTTTTTCTGCTAATTTTACATGCTTTTTAAAGGTACTACTACTAATAGTAACATTCTGGAAGTTTTTGTAATATTCTGTAACATTCTAGAGCTTTCTGTAACATTCCAGTCATAACAGACAAAAATCATTCAATGTACATTTCTGGTCACTTTTGCTAACTGTTTATGTTAAACTGTTGTTGTTAGCTCAGTATTATGCAAGTGTATTTTTATGCATGAGTAATAACAGATAACAGCTTGTATAAGTATATATATATATATACACACACATATATATACACACATATATACACACATATATACACACACACACATATACACACACATATATACACACACATATATACACACATATATATACACACATATATATACACACACATATATACACACATATATACACACACACATATATATACACACACATATACACACACATATATACACACACATATATATACACACACATATATATACACACATATATATACACACACATATATACACACATATATATACACACACACATATATATATATACACACATATATACACACATATATATACACACATATACATATACACACATATATACACACACATATATACACACATATACACACACATATATATACACACACATATATACACACACATATATACACACATATATATACACACACATATATACACACACATATATACACACACATATATACACACACATATATACACACACATATACACACACATATATATACACACATATATATACACACACATATACACACACATATATATACACACACATATATACACATATATACACACACACATATATATATACACACATATATATACACACACACACACACACAGTAAGATTTGTAATGTGTTTTAATGAAGTCTCTTCTGGTCATCAGGGCTGCATTTATTTGATCAGAAATACAGAAAAAAATATTATTGCAATTTAAAATAATGGTTTTCTATTTTAATGTTTTCCTGTGATCAAAGCTGAATTTTCTGCTTAATATTTTTTTGTTTTTTGGAACCTGTGATACTTTTTCAGGATTCTTTGATGAATAAAGTTTTAAAAACAGAACAGCATTTATTATTTCTATTTTGAATAAATGCCGTTCTTTTTAACGTTTTATTCCTCAAAGAATCCTGAAAAAAGTATCACAGGTTCCAAAAAAAAACTGTTTCCAATATTAAAAATAAATCAGCATATTAGAATGATTTCTGAAGATCATGTGACACTGAAGACTGGAGTAATGATGCTGAAAATACTGCTTTAATTACAGAAATAAATTACATTTTAAAGATTTGTCCATGTTTTAACCGATGTCTGGTATGTGTGCACAAATATAATTAAAATATTAAAAGTAATTAATCTAAACTAATCATGACATAAAATGCCATGTATTATTCAGTATTGTTAAATTACACTATAATTCAGATTTACACAATTCACATTCAAATCGTCTTGCATGAGCATTTCCGAAATACCATAATTTGACATTATTTGTGGTATAAAAACCTAATTTATGCAAAAGCATTACAGAACGTTAGCTATTACCCAGATTGCACAGGTACATCTCTAAGAGCTCTTCAACATCTGTGTAAAAACATCTGATAAACGTCTTAGAAAAAGCAGATTAACTGTTTCCAATATTAAAAATAAATCAGCATATTAGAATGATTTCTGAAGATCATGTGACACTGAAGACTGGAGTAATGATGCTGAAAATACTGCTTTAATTACAGAAATAAATTACATTTTAAAGATTTGTCCATGTTTTAACCGATGTCTGGTATGTGTGCACAAATATAATTAAAATATTAAAAGTAATTAATCTAAACTAATCATGACATAAAATGCCATGTATTATTCAGTATTGTTAAATTACACTATAATTCAGATTTACACAATTCACATTCAAATCGTCTTGCATGAGCATTTCCGAAATACCATAATTTGACATTATTTGTGGTATAAAAACCTAATTTATGCAAAAGCATTACAGAACGTTAGCTATTACCCAGATTGCACAGGTACATCTCTAAGAGCTCTTCAACATCTGTGTAAAAACATCTGATAAACGTCTTAGAAAAAGCAGATTTACACACATTCTGAAACAACCAAACAATCTTCAAGACATATTGCAGATGTAAATGCAGACATTAAATAGATGTAATGTATCATGTGCTCTCACTCAGGTTAGTGAACGTTCCAAAACACAAACTATAACAAACAAATCATTCTCAAAATGTAACATGGTGTGCCATATAACAGTTATATCTATTAACGCTGAAACATTGTCACATCCCATTACGCAATGCTACATTTCTCCAAATCTGGTAGAGAAACAAACTCATCTACATCTTGGATGGCCTGAGGCTGAGAACATTTTCAGATCATTTCCATTTTTGGGTGAACTATTCTGGAGTAAAAGGTGGACCAACTTGGCCACTCCCCTGTACCTTTTTTTTTTTAAACCAAGTTTACTTCATAAATATGCCCCAAACTCCAAAACACTGAAAAAAAAAAAAAAGGTGCAGGATTTACTTTGAAACAATTTTCACTTAGAAAATTGCTAGTAAATTTCACAAATAATTACAAAGAAGCAGCAAGCAGCACACTGAATTAAAAAGGACATTTTTTAAATTTTAATTTAATTTTAACTGATTGAAATAGTATTTTATTGTAAAAAATTACTGACTGACAGTACTGGGCTAGAAAAAATAGTGATCTACACTACAAAGCTGTATTTTCACAATGATTGTTGCAAATAATGACTCTGTAGAGCCAGTATGTATAAAACATTTTAATTAATTACATTACAATACAAGAATACATAATACCTTAGAGTGTGGGCTCAAACATAGCCAGCACCAGGTAAATATGTGTATGTACACTCAGACACACACACACACAAATAACAAAAAAAAACACCTTTACAATATTATACAACATCTGAATGCATATTACTTGTTTCCTAAAAGGACATCTGTTCACAGGTCTCCGGCACAGAACCCTCCCTTTCTCAGTCTCCTCTTTCCGCAAGTTTTTCTCATGCTAAAACACAAGCCGAGCGCTCCGTGAACACAGAACAAATAAAAGCAGGGGAGAGGAAAAGTGAGCAGAAAATATGGGTCACAAATCTATAGTCATATAAAGATAGAAATCTGATATTACACCTGATGCCTCACAAAATCGGGAGGGGTTAGAAAAATAAAAGTCTATATCTAATAGAATTTATATGGCAGGAAGCTTTCTCTTTCTCTCTTCTAGTGCTTTTATACAACAAAGGTAAAAGGAATTTTTATATAGCTGTATATTTTTTTCTTGGTCACTCTGGTCTGTTTTTCTGTCTTCATCCCATCTACTTTTCATGCTGCATTGAATTTAAGTATTCTCAATCATACACACTGCAAAGCTCAGCAAACACAAAGTATCATTTGTGTCTTCCCGTTTTCTTTTTGTTTTAGTTTTTTTGTGCTGAGTGATGGAACACACATTTAAGATCCTTGGACGCCTGGCACTTTCCACATAGTTATATCTGTGCCTGTCTGCTGACATTCCCTCATTTTAGTGTTTTAAAGCTTTCAAACCCCCTGCAGCCACTGAATAGCCCCGTCTCTGTCACAAAGTATCTCTTTCATCACACTGGAAACTGGCTTTAGCTTGATTTCACGTGTTTGGCATGTGACTTCTTTGATAATGCCAGTGAAAGCTACAATTAAATTCTCTGAACTCTCAATCAAAGCATGTTAATGGGAGGTTCTGTGCAAGACGTTGACTTCACTTGATCAGCACACACTGAAAAAGAATAGTTTTGCTACAACGGTCAGGCATATCCATGACATAAATGTAAACTCTTCATAAAAATGTAGCTTTCAGAAAATACATATAAAACAAAACTAAAGAGAATAAAACAATAAAAAGACTCTTATTACACTAAAAAAATTGCAAGATGTAAACTCTGAATTCAGTTTTCACTGACAGTTGTGAGAAAAAAAGTAACAATTCTGAGAAACAAAATCCGAATTGTGAAATAAAAAGTCACATTTACCTTTTTTTAAATAATTTTTTTTTTCTGTGGCAGAAATGGGCTTCCATACTCTAAGTGTTTGCAGAGAACGGAGAGATAAAAAAACAAAACAAAAGTTGGTCACAATATGCACCATAATTGTGAAACAGTGCTGCTTTCTAATACAACACCGCACCCCTTTGCAAACACAAGAATCATATTGCGGTCTCTTTGCTTTTATGGGCAGAGGATCAGATACTATGATCACCTTAAGCACGCTTTAACACTAAGACACAGGAACAACCGTTGGGAGACGGTGGGGAGGACTCGAGCTGCCATTAATGATTGATTCCAATGCTCTTCTCCCAAGGTCTTCCACTTCATTGTTTGAAACACAAAGCACATCTTAGGCATAAGGATAACAAGAAGACAGCTGTTATGAAGATAAAAAAAAAAGATAAAAAATGAAAAGAGCCTCAAGGGCAGAGTTGATTAGGTGAGACGAGCTGCCACAAGAGAAGAAGACCAGTGTTGCATGTGTGGAGGATGCTGCATGGCGGAATGGAAAACACGTTTTTGAGGAATTAAAAGCAAAGATGGAGGTCAGAGGTGACTAACCCATGTTTCTCGTCAAAAGGACATAGGACGAGTCTATTCTGAGGATGCTGGCAGGTTGAGCTGGTTTGGAGGGATGAATCAAAGGAACAGGGACAATGTGACAAGTCAAGGCACAGCATGACAGTCAGGACAAACGCCAGAGCTCTCCCAAACATTAGCCTGGCCTCATTTTCTGGCAATGCATATTACTAATCAAAAATTAAGTTTTGATATATTTACGGTAGGACATTTACAAAATATCTTCATGGAACACGATCTTTACTTAATATCCTAATGATTTTTGGCATAAAAGAAAAATCTATAATTTTGACCCATACAATGTATTTTTGGCTATTGCTACAAATATACCCCAGCGACTTGACTTACTGCTTTTGTGCTCCAGGCTCACATATACTCTGCTATTTGTCTTTTAATCAAGGACCATTTAGGAAAATATAATACAAAAGCTACTACAGAAAATATAAACTACACTTGTTAAAATCAAATATATATATATATATTTTTTTTTTCTGTTTCTTTGTATTTTGGTCTGGGACTGTCTGTGAAGAGCTGGAATTCCCAGCACTTTCTTCTTTCATATACGGAATATTGCACACTGCACTGCATATATACTGCTGAAGAATAAATTGAAGCTTCACAAATTATTGCGAGTAAGTTACGGGGAAATACACAGGACTAAAAGCATCAGTATAATTTTCTGACAGTACCGACACCTCGACAGAGCTTGTTCCACCGCTACACCTTCACATGCACGGTCGGTCATGCAGTTTTAACTTGTCTGTTTGAGTGCTGGCCATACTTACACACAACTGAAACAAAACAGCTCTGTTCATCTTCTCAGGTCTTCTCAGGTTCAGTGCATCAAGTTTATTGCTACATCATTTACTACTGATAGTTTTAGATAAAGACTTCTACACTGATGCATTTGCACACCACTCCTGTTCGTGCTTTAAGTATGAATCATCTGTTATATATGGATATTCTCTTTTCTTTCGCAAAGAAGTATCCAATTAATGAATCTTCACGGTCAGTTTAACTACGTGAGATGAATGCTGAAATAGAATCCACTGATTCCTGGAAGTGCCCTGAAGTTTTGTCCTTTTGCTCCCGTTGCATTAGTCTATTATGGAGTCTATTAGTGTGCATTATGCTACGACTTGCACTTTCAGGAACCACACAGGAATCCTATTCAAACCTATAATGCAAAATGAACTGACACACAAGCAAGCTCTATGCACAAACCTAGTGAGCTGCCTACCTAGATAGCATTTCGGGTATCATAGACTTACTCCCCACTTTTTTTGGCTGCGTTTACATTAATGCACTGATCTGATCTTTTGATCTTTTTGTCCCTTCTGTTTTTAATCATATAAGACACGACTCGTATCTAATATGTGCGTTTACATTCATTCCGGTCCAAACTAGAATAATTCCACAGGAATAATTATCACTTTGTTGCTGAAAAATACAATTTAGAGTTCAGTAAAGAACCTATTTTATTCATAAAAATCATGAGACGGGCTTCCGTGCTCCTGAATGTTTCCTCATCTATTACCCTAATCTAAAGATTTCGCCTCAATGAAAGCAGCTGTGATTTGTGCGAGTGCATACAGGCTTTTGTGCTTCATAATACGACCATGAGACTAGTTATCTTGAGGTTAAATATATACATGAATCATATATACATGTTTAGATGTACAGTAGGTCAGATTTCCAGATATGGGATATGTATCTGATTTAACACCATATTTGGAAGTGGCTCAGAACCAGTGTTGGGGAAAGTAACTAATTGCGTTACTTAGTTACGGTTTATGGAAAGTAATGCATACGTTACTTTTGTGTTACTTTTTGTCACTTCTTTTGCTTCTTTATTTGTTTTTAATAGCAAAAAACCCAGAGGTTATATTTTTGGCAGCTGTAAAGGGCCTTTCACACTGAAAGTGAAATGATTAAGCCTCAGGCTGAAGGAAGAGTCTCTGTCTCTGCACTCGATTTCTCTCAACATGAGGACAGGAGAGCCGTCAGTCAATACATGGGGAAACTAAGTAACTTGCATTACTTATTTGAAAAAGTAACTCTTGTAAATTTAAAAGTAACGCATTACTTCGGGTGAAAAAATGGATCTTGTGCAGATTTTTGTGATTACACATGTGCAACGATTCATTAAAAAAATCTGATTTTGTGCAAGTGTAAACGCAGCCAAAAAGTACACAGTAAAATCACATAAGCAAGCCTATTCCCTTTCAGTTAAGATGCTGCCTTAGAACGGTTCATGTAGATGACAGACTAGGTTTTGGAACAGAGCTACACTTTCTCACTCATACACCGCAGAAGAGACAAGTTAAAACTGCATTACCACATGTTCTTTCTAAACCACATATTGCTTGTCTGTGTGTATTTGTGGGGTTGGGGAGGGTTTGATATAAAGCGTTGCAAGGGTTGAGAGTTTTCCGAGGAGTGTAAATCAGCCAGGTGCTTCCTGCCAGCTGTGATGGCTGATGTGTGTGTTAGGTGACACACTGCTGCGGTCTAGCAGATGTGAGCCTGTAATCTGCAGGAATGTGAACGGTGGCCTCCATCGCTGGAGCTGCTCTGCAGGCTGTAGTGGTCTTCACCATCGCTCACACTGTCCACGCTATCACCCTCACCTGGTGTGAACTCCATCCCCTCTATGTCAACATCCACTTCTGTAGACACACAGAAATTAAAACTCATTAGCAGTGATGTGTACCCAATGATCTCACGAATAAAGGAATATTCTGTGTTATGATAAACCTGATTTATAAAGCGGATAGTTCCGGTGCTTGATTCTGATTGGCTGAGCCGCGTTCGAAGCTGTTGTAAATGACTCTACAAAGTAACATACACCTTTGTTTACGTTTGTCTGTTGCTCGGCAACCACTTTGTTGCAACCACAACTGTTTCTGAGGAGCTACATTGTTTGGTGGAAGAATACTGTTTTTATTAATATCATTACACTTTATTTGCTCTGTTTTATTTTGTGAAACCTTACTACGTATATGGAATAACCGTTTTATAAAAGCAATAGGCCCCGTGAAGCCGTGGTTTACAGTGAATTTATAACAGCTAAGGGGGTATATATTATAACTCGTACGTAACAACGCCCCTTAGCTGTTATAAATTCACTGTAAACCACGGATTCTTGGGGCTTTAATTGCTTTATTCTATGGATGGCACCTGTTGCCACGCTGTCGATTACCACCAGTGCTGGGTAGTAATCAGATTCCAAAAATTATTAAGTACTTGTAATTAAATTACATTACATTTTAAAATACTCGCAATCAGACTAGTTACTCATTATTGATTACATGATTACATATTATTCACACAATAGCAATAAATTATCCATAATTTATTGGATCCCCTAAATTCTTCTTTTTCATCTTTTAAATTTTCTGTTTTTTAAAATCGACTACTGCTTATATACTGTACATTCAGAAAGTCTTGCAGTTTTGTGGACATTCACTAGTCAGGTGTCGATAATTACACAGAAAACTGAGAGGCCACACGGCATTTCAACACTGGATTCAGAAAAATCATTGCAAATGTGTTTTCTCAACATTTCAACATTGCATCTCAACATCTAATGAACACATTCATTTTTATTTGAATTATCACTCAGCGGTTTTTTAACCATGTGTCACTTTGTCTATTAAAATTACAATTAAATGGCTTGCCACTGTTTTGTCTTTATATCTGGGATTCCCAAACTTTTTTTTGTCAGCCGAACCTCTTTCACATAATATATTTACTTGACGTTCCCCTGAGATGAAGAACGAGCGTGTGCTCATGGTTGCCAGATTGCAAAAAATAAGCAAAACACCGGGCAGAAAATGTATCGTTTTAACAGAGAAGCTCTGATTTGCGGATTTGAACTCTTGATATCTGGCAACCGCACACATGAAAGCTCGTGTAGTAGAGGCGCGTACAGCAGTCCGCAATAGTGTTTTGTCTCCTTTTTTTAGACGAAAATAAAAATAAATTTTGGTATAGTTTTTATTTTTTAAAATACATTTTACTCTCGTCTTTTATCGTCAGCGATATTGCATGTTGATATAGTCACAGTTATCGTTTATTGACCTCGTTGTCGTCTCGTCATAGTCGACATGGAAAAAAAAGCTCGTCAACGAACATTTTTCGTCACACTTTTCGTTAACGAAATTAACACTACACATTTGCATGTTCACAGTTCTTTGACACTGGTTAATGGTCACATGACATACAAACAAATAAAATATTTAATCTTTTTTAGTAAGTGTTTTTATTTGACTGTTGTTATTTTAAAATGATTCATTTTAATTTTATATTTTTTTTATTAATTTTTAGCTTTTCATTAAACTAATTTCTTCATGAACCCCAGTTTGGGAAACCTTGATGTAATGTAAAATTTAATGCATATCATGTTGTTACTACCAACAACTGGAATATATTTTTATTTGTATTTTTATATCAATATGGAACAAGATTATCTTATTTAAATCAATGTGATAAATGAGTTAGATCAAAAGAAATCTAAAAGTAGTCAGATTATATTACCTACAATGTGTAATGTAATGGATTACGTTACTAACTACAATTTTTGTCATGTAATTTGGAATCAGTAACTAAGTAATCTACTCAGCACTGGTTGTAAATACAGTAGATAGTTTGGCCTCAGACGTCCAAGCGATTAATCACAATTAAATACTTTATACAGAAGCCACACTGAGAGCTCAGTATGTTGATCTGATCTGCAATCACCTGTGGTCATACAGTCTGTGTAGTATATAGTATATACACGTATGTGTCTTGTAGGGCTGGGTAAAAAATATTGATTTCTCGATTTTAATCGATTCTCATTTTGATGAAACGATATCGATTCATAAATCCCAAGAATCGATTAGTCGCGCCTGTCAGATAATGAACGAAACATTGTAGTGCCTCCCATCCAATAAATTGCAATAAGCTCTGTGATTTGTTACTTTTGATATGAAACAAAGTCTCAGATTTCAAATTCCGTCCATTTTATTACGACATTCAAATATTAAATGCCGTTTTGGAGCTGTTTAATGTGGAGTGACAGATCATCTCCTCCGCTTTGATAGCAGTTACAGCACGAAATAAACATGAATGAACATCCGAAGCTATGTTAAAAGAAAGAGTACAACTTACGAAATCTGTCTCCTGTCTCGTGTAATCGCTCAATCAGTGTTTCAAACACGGAGAGACGACAATAGCTTGTAAACGATGTGTCACGTAACATCACATTTACTCAGAAAAACATATTCGGTGACCATAAACTCA